TTAATTATTATTATTATAGCCGTCCTGACAGGTGTGAGATGATATCACATTGAGGATTTGATTTGCATTTCTCTGATTATTAGTGATATTGAAAAGTTTCATACACATGTCAGCTATTTACATGTCTACTTTGGAGAAATGTCTATTCAAATCCTTAGTTCACTTTTCAGTCAGATTATTGGATCTTTTACTATTTTAGGAGTTCCTTATATATTTTGGAGATTAACCCCTTATCAGAAGTATGACTTGCAGGGCTGGCGGCGCTCCCGCCGAGGGTTCGGATCCCATGTGGAGACTGATTCCCGCTCACTGGCTGAGCGTGGTGCGGGTGCAACACCAAGGGTTGCAATCCCGTTGCCGGTCCCCGGTACAGGCGCGACACCGAGGGTTGCGATCCTGTTACCGGTCAGTAAAAATGACAAAAAGGAAAAAAAAAAAAGAAGTATGACTTGCAAATAAATATTTTCTCCCATTCTCTAGGTTGCCTTTTCACTCTACTGAGTGTTTTCTTTGCTGTACAGAGCTTTTTAGTCTGATGTAATCCATGGAAAACTTCTTGGATGAGTAGTCTGTATTTATTAATGCCTTTACATTCTCACCTCAGCCTAATATAAAATGATTTCTAACCCCATATCCTAATACTGTACCTAAACTGTTTCACAATGATCATTATAGACTACTAACTGCGAAAACCAGTGACTTTCCTCTCATCCTCTGGCCACTCTTCCTCTTTCTCCTTCTGCCTATAACTTAAATGCGGCTGATCCCAAGATTCTGCCAACATTTCTCTTCTCGCTCTATGTGTTCCCAGTATGCATTCTTTCTCTTTGTTTCAACTACAGCTTAGGTGCCAATGATTCCCAGATCTCTGTAACACTGCTCCTGACCGTTGACCCTGGACTAAAACTCTTTCAAAGCATCTGCTGAATATTTTATGAGTCCCTCAAATTCACATACTCGGAGCTGGACTATCCCTTTCTCATACTCAGTCAAATTTGTCACCTGCCTTTTCCTCATCACTTACATTGCCATTAAGTTCTGTTGAGTCTAAATCTAAAATGTCTTTCTGATATGATCCCTATTACCTACTTACACTATCACTATTCCTGTTTGGGCCTTCAAAGTCCCTTATCAGGACCAGCAGGTGGTTAATAGAAGGAGCTTTGGAAATCAAACTAACTGGATTCCAGTGTTTTCACTGAACAGCTGTGTGCATTGGGCAAGTTATTTAACTTCTTTAAGGCTCAGTTTCTTCATCAGTGAAATGGGGTTAGTACATAGAACTATTATACTATCATATATATTATAATATTAATTCTTATAAGAAATTTGGTGACCTAAATAAAATGTCATTCACAATGGCTGGCACATTGTAGCCACCCAAAACTTATTTTTTTCACTCAACACTCTTCTTCCTCCCTTTAACTGACCTTTCCCACCCAACGCATTCAACACTCACACCAGTTAACTTCTGAATCAAAAGATCTAGTTATGTCAGTCCTAAAGAGCTTTTTCATGAATTTTCAATGCCTGTGTGACAAAGACCATCTCCTTAGTATGGCATTAGTTACCCTTTAGAAAGCTAACCCTCAGCTACCTTTCCAGCTTACACACTCACCACTATCATAAGCTACTTTACGTTGTCAAGTCTTGGTTTCTTTATTGCAGCCACATCATTTTCAAGGTCTTCCCCCTTTTATTTCTACCTAAGAATCGTATTTATATTTGCATATGCATCTGTTTCCACCAATAAATCTTAATTCCTTGGAAACAAAGAACGCTCCTTATTAATTTGACACACTGAATTCATTTTCCAAATATTTATCAGCTGAGAATGAGGCATTTTACTAGGTTCTACGGATACAAAGACAAAGAAGATTGGCCCACACCCTTAAGAAGTGTACAGTCTGGTTAGGAAGATGGGCACATACACAATTCCGGTAAAGGGTATAGTGAGAGGATAGAGCAGTGGCTCCAGATCTTGGTTATATATTAGAATCCCTAGGATAAATTTTTTAAAATGCTAATGCCTGAGTTCATCCAGCAGAGATTCTAATTTAATTGGTCTGTGGTACATTTTTTATGAGGTCCTCTGACCTAGTTATGTGAAGCGACTGTTACAAACGTTTGGGGTAGAGGTGTACACAGGAGACTACGAAACATTGGAGGCAAATCTTGTAGCTGGCACTTCTGATCGTTCCACAACATACTATCCCCTTTCTTCTTCATTCCTAAATGTCCTCAGGTGTGCACCACTCCTTAGGGGTGACTTAGGAGACATTGCCCAACATGCTGATAGTTCTTCTCATAATTGGTTTGGGTGTAAGCAAAGGAACTCATTCTAAACAAGGATACATGAGAAGAGGCTGACTGTGGGAAGTTGGGAAAAGGTTTCCTCATTCCAAGAAAAATATACCAGAAAAGATAGGCTGTTTCTGCCTTTGGATACTGTTGTGTATGGCTGTGACATCTGGAATAGCAGCAACCATATTGTAACCATGAAGGGAGCCACTTTTCAGGCAGAAATGATATCCAGAAAGAAGCTAGGTTCTTGTCAACCCTACTAAGTCATTGCATCAAACATCCCTAATGTCAGTCCACCTGTGTACTTATTGATGTATGAAATAATCAATTTTCTAATTGTTTATACTACTTGGAGTCAGAATTCTCTGACTACCTGCAGCAGATGGCATGCCAGTTGATACACAACTAAACCAAACTTGGGGATCAAGGAAAGCGGCCCAGAGAAGGTCATATCTGAGGAGTATTCAGCAAGGCAGTCAAGAAACAGGAGAAGCAAATAAAAAGGGATAGATATAAAAATATGAGATTTTTTGGGAACTACACATAGTTCAGAATAGCTACTTCAAAGAGTATGAGCAGGGAGATGAGGCTGAAGATGTGGTAGTCTGGGGTGAGATTTTGAGGAGCCTTGTATGCTGTGGTAGATTAAATAAAGCCACAAATCCTTTACAATGCCTATGAAGAGGTGAAGTCTACTGCAACACCCCATGAATATATCTGGCTTCATGACTTGCTTTGACCAATAGAATGTGTCAGAAGTGATACATATAATATATCAAATATATATACATATACACACACACATATATATATACATGTATATATACACACACACACATATATATATATATACACACACACACACACACATATACACACACACACACACACACACATATATATATACACACACACACATATATATACACACACACACACACACACATATATATACACACACACACACACACACACACATATATATATACACACACACACACACACACATATATATATACACACACACACACACACATATATATATACACACACACACACACACACACACATATATATATATTGTTTTTGTTCTTGGCAGCTGGACAGTATGAGGATCCAAACCCTTGATCTTGGTGTTATAACACCACACTCTAGGGCCGGTCCCGTGGCGCACTCGGGAGAGTGCGGTGCTTGGGAGCACAGCAGCGCTCCTGCCGTGGGTTCGGATCCTATATAGGGATGGCCGGTGCATTCACTGGCTGAGCGCTGTGCGGGCGACACCAAGCCAAGGGTTGCAATCCCCTTACCGGTCACAAAAAAAAAAAAAAAAACCACCACACTCTAACCAACTGAGCTAACCAGCCAGCCAAGAAGTGATGTTATTCTAATTCCAGAGCCAAGGTCTGCCTCTCTTAAAATGTTGCTCTGAGGCTGCCATGTTGAAAGGAAGGCTATCTAGCCTACTGAAGGATAAGAGGCCAAGTGGAGGAGGGCAAAGGAGGGCCCAGGAGGGCAGGGGAGAGCAGAGGCACCCAGGCGGCATCTAGCACAGCAGTTGGGCATGTGAGGGAGGGGCCCATCTTGGACTGTGCAGCTATTTCAGCCATCCTGTGACTGCATGTGAGCCCAGCCAATCCACAGAGTCATAAAGATAATACAGAGTTGTTGTAGTAAGCCACAAGATTTAGGGTAGCTTGTTAGGCAGCAATAGGCACCTGACACACAGACCATGTCGAGATGTTTGGACTTTATTCTGAAAACTATAAGGAGTAACCTGATTAGACCTATGTGTTAGAAAGATGGCCTTGGCAGCACCATGGAGAATGGCTGGGGTCGGGGCAGGGTCGAGGTGGAAGGACTTGTTAGAAGACTGCTGCATTAAAAGAGCTGAGAAAGCTGGATCAGAAATAAGTGGCAGCGGGAAGGCACTGAAGAGTCAACATAAAGGTAAAATCAACATGATGGTAAATGTAGGTTAAAGAGTGTAAGGGAGAAAATTGAATTAAGAATTACTCGAAGGTTTCTGGATTAGATAAATGAGCATGATAGTGCCATTCACTCAGGGAGAGATTATGTGAGAAGGAGAAAGTTTGAGGTAACTGTACATCCAAATAAACATCCAAATAAAGATGTTACAGCAAGGAGTTTTGAATATTCAATAAATATTTGATGAATAAATTACTATGATTAATCTGGGTGGGTACTGAAGAGCTCCAGTCCAAGGTAACATCTTAATACAACTCATATGGTATAACTTGAGTGCCCTCTAAATTAAGTAAAGCCATAATGATGTGAATTTATTTTACTGACATTTCATCAGAATTTTTTTTTAAAAAGGAAAGAAGATTTGATGCAGTCCAAAATGCTGACAGATCTGCACATTGTTTAGTTTGCGTGCATTAATGTGTAATTCTTGGGGAACACTACTAGTATGTTCCTACTTAAAGGCAGTGTCATTTGTTACTGTATCCAGAGGGTAAGCTCCATAATACAAATTCTCTCTTTTATTTGTCCTGCAGATTCTTTCTATGCCCCAACCTGCAAAGCAAGGAGTTTCCCTAACTACATGCTAGAAAAAGTGGAAACTATCGCTATGTTGTACATTTTGCCAAGAGAATACAATCTATGATTTATCAGTGTAATAAATTACAGAGGCTACAAACAATTTCAACATGCACATGTAAATATTGACTTACCTTTGATATTGATTAAAATAGCAAATAAATGGCTGGGAACCAATTTCATCTTTCCAGTACTGTTGCCAATTCATGACATTTTCCAAGTTCTTCTGATTTTCTCTCTTACAAGGAGGGATATAGGAGCACTAACAAAATAGAACACAGAAAGTAAACCTATTATTCTATAGAATATTGAAATATAGTCCATTTTTTATAGATAGATGGCATTATGCACACAGTAAATCTAATTTAGACCTACCTAATTTTTAAATACAACCAAATTGAAATTGTTAAACTATATTTCAAATTTCCAATTTGGCACAATGACAAAATATTCCAATAACAGAAATACAGCAAAAAAAAATTTCAGACATTAGAGTATAAGGATATTTTATAAGTAATTCTTTACAGTCTAATAGAAATTAAAAGCATAATATATTCTCTCTTTTGGGGGGGACTGCCAGTCAACAGAGGGAGGCAAAAAAAAAAAAAGTTAATTTTTAACCCCCCTCCCTCCCACATTTGCATCCAGCCCAATGACAACCCAGCCACTGCTGGAAGACCCTCAGGCTCCCAAGCTGGGGTGGGGGAAGCCACAGTCCTCAGCCATTTCCCCCCTTACCCCACTACCCTTGCCTTCTGCAACCAGGCCAGCGAAGGAGCCACCTGTGGGCCAGCCCCACCCTTCCCCTTCCCCCTCTTCCTTCTCCCTCCACCTCCCCCCAGCTCTGCAGCAACATCTTAGAAAGTAAAAAATGATAATAATAATAATAATAATAAGTAAAAAAGAAAGGTAATTTTATATCCCCAATTACTATTTATGGATCTTGATATTTTCTTCTTCCACTTTTAACTAACAAATCACGCACATGGCTCTTCTCAGGATACCCTTCTCAACCACTGAAACTCAAGTTTTCTTTTCTTACATTCTTTTGGACCATGAAATCAGCTGAAAATTTCCTCTCAAGTACATAATCAGAGTATTTTGCTAACTGATGCCTTTTTCTAGCCTTGCCTCTGACAAAGTGGTTCTCTTAAAGAAACTCCACTACTCTAAGTAAAATACATTCAGCAGAATCAGAAAATTGCTCTTAACTCCAGATGTTAAAATTAACCCTCGGAGGGCTGGCCAGTTAATTCAGTTGGTTAGAGTGCGGTGCTGATAATGCCAAGGTCCAGGGTTCGATCCCTGTACTGACCAGTCACCAAAATAATGATAATAATAATAATAATAACCCTTATCAGTCCAATCCATTTTCAATTCAGTCTTTTATAATGATGAAGATGATGCCAGCTTATATTTATTGTTTACAATATGCCAGACACTGTCATAAACGCCAATGCCAACAGGACTTAACTCAGATACTTCTGACAACCACCCTACAATGATCTCCATTTTACAGATGAGGAAATTGAAATTTTTGTCAGCTGTACAACTAGAACTAGATTCTGGTGATTTTATCACATTCTACTCTCAGATGTTTTACCAAGGTGTTGGATATTAAGAAGCGGGGGGGGGGGGGGGGGGGGGGGGGAGGACTCATTAGCTTTATAGTATAATTTGGGTCACACTGTTTTATTTACGGTATGTAAGTTTTTAACACCATCGCATTATTTTCTGGTAAAATTCCAACTTTTCAGCATGATGTACAAAGCTCTAGATGATTTGATACCTGCCTGCTCTCACCCTCACTTAATCCTGGGATGCAAACATCCAGAAGCACCTGTTCCTAAAATTTGCCATTTGCCACTGCTGTCACACCTATTTGTCAGGCACAGGCTGTTCTCTCTCTTTTTAATGCCCTTTGTTCCTTAATCTTCTTCTTTCAAGATTCAAGTCTGGTGTTACCTGTTTGGGAACCTTCTCTTTCTCACTCCACAGTTAAGTGCCCCTCTTGCTGACGTAGGCATCGCACCCCATGATATCACAGCTTGAATCGCACAGTATCATACTTGTCTGTTTTATGTCAGCCTCCCCTATTTACTGGCAAGTTGAGAAAAAGGACTTATTTTTTTCTATTCTGTATCTTCACACTTAGGACTATGTCTGATAATGGTGAAGTTTCAAAAATGTTGGTTAAACTATTAAAACACAGATACACTTTTATTCAAGATAATGAAGCTATTTTCAAAATGGCTAAACATTTTAAAAGTATATAAAAAACATAAACACATTTTAAATTTTAATAGATTTGGTTATTTTCTTTTATATATAACAATTCGACAACATGTTATGCAAATATTATTTTAATGACTGAAACACTGAATATTTATCCTGTGCACACATAGCTCCATTTCTACTTATAACAGCAATATAAAACTAAAAATTTCTGTGAGATTATGGATTCTGAGTTCTTCCAAAGCAGCAATTGGGTTTAGAAGCAATGGAAACCATTAGATGGGGCTCCAGTACTGTTATTTGTCAGCTGTTTGGCCTGGGGTAAATTACTTCCCTTTTCTGGACTTCATTTTTCCTAATCTGCAAAATCTCTGAAATAATTTCTAGCTCTACATTTCTACTTTTCTGTTCTTGGAGGTACACCAAGAAAGAACCCAGCAGAACCATTACTACAAACACTGTCACAGTATTTTTCTCAGAAGATATCCTGCCACTGCGGAATACCTGGGAACCCTAACTAAGCTGCCATTCTCACCAGCAAAGGGGACCAGTGTGGTAGGTCCTTTCTTGGGGGCCTGTACTTCAGGAAAATGTTCATGGGGGACGACAATTTTCCTACTGCTTATTTCCTATACTGTGTTGGACATTTTGTTTCCTTTTAGTAAACTATTTTTTTTCTACATCATGGTCAACTAGTTAATAAAGGGAGAGTAGGTGCCAATTTACGGTGCTTTCTAGGAAGGAGAAACTTCCAGTTTTGGAGGTAGAAGCTGTGGGGTGTAAACAGCTAAAAATTCATCAGAGCCTTTTTTGCAATGGGTATACTTGACACAAGAGGTATACTAAAACATTTTCATTGAGTATGTAATGTTTGTATTAGGTATGTTGAGGTTTCATGTGGGATTTTTAAAAAATGTTTCTTGCCTTTAGGAAACTTTAAGCTAGTGTGGATTTTGGAAGAAAAGCACTTTTTTACATTGTGAAAAACAACCTGAGATCAAAATTTAAGTACACTTTTTATGAACTGCATTCTTTCCAAAGAGCATCATAGATTTAATAATTTATGATAAATATAATCTAAGCTTATAATACTCTATTAACTTTTCAAAGCTAGTATCACCTTGAAAGACAAATTTTTTTGAAAACATTTTTTTCCTTTTATTTTTTCTTAATTGACTCATGTTAATTGTATATATTTATGGAGCACAATGCGATATTTGGGTATATTTATTCAGTGTGCAATGATCATATTTGGGTATTAGCATATCTATCGCCTCAAACATTTGTAAGAGGCTAAACTTTGTGTTCTTAAAAAATCATTATTGTTTATTTTCTTAAATGTTGATTCTCCAGTTAATTTGTCTTTAAAATTTCTGTGAAGCCTAACTCTGATCCTCCCTAGATTTCTCCTCAATTCTACTTAGTGGATCATTATAGATTGTCAGAATTTTAAAATAAGTTACAAATGAAAATTCAAAGCAGTGTTCTAAAAATAGAACACAGAAATTCAGTCATACAAACTTCTTTTTTTTTCTAGGTTGTTCAAGCCTGATGATTTTCCAAGCTCCATACTAGCTCTACCATGAACATCTCTCTTTGGGGGATCACAAATAATAATTGACACCATATCATTATCATCAACATCATCATCATCATCCCAACAAACATTTATTGACTAAATGTCAAGCATCTCATGAATCCAATGATCAAAAATATTATAATCAGCCCCATTTTATATATGAGGAAACAGAGACAAAGGGGTTTAAGAAAACTTTCCCAAAGTCACAAAGAACAATGGAAAAGCTGGGATTGACACTGCAGAATGTTCCTTACCACTGCTTCACACTGCCTTCCACGTCTCTATCTTTCGGACTTCCTAATTTTCTCTCTTGGAAGCTCCCTGACTTGGGGCTAAGGGGATGCCCTGCCCTCTGCATGCCTCTCTTGGAGAACCAGTGTGGTGTTTCTGTTGGAATGGAATTGGTGGGCTGAGGCAGTCTGTTGCAGTCCTTTGTTCTTCCAGTACATACTCAGAGAAATGCACTGGTAGTCTTTGTTCCCTCCCCTCTCAATTTGGCTTCAGGATTGGTTTCTGGTGCCATGGATATAATTTCACTTAGGTGAATTTATAGATACAACATCGTCGGTCATGGAGGACAAAAAGCATTCCCTTGGAGAAACTTCTTTGTACAGTTCTGACCTATTTTATTTTTCATTTGTTAAGGCAGCACTTCCCAATTTCTTATATCATTATCACGTAATGAAATAACATTCATTAGATTCTGTGTTGTTTGCTGCCTGAAATTGAATGAAATCACTTCCTTTTAAAAAGTCAGGGGTTTAAGCAGTAAAGCTCAAATGAAAAAAAAAAAAAGTCGGGAGAAAAAGGCATATAATATGATTAAAAATATTTGTTTAATGCCCACCTTTTAGAAAAAACTTTTCGACTTTTGCATCCATGAACAAAGTTGATGGAATCGAGCGGGCTTTTCTGAGTCTAACAACACAAAGGCTTCCAATGAATTCATTAAGAAAAGACACTATCATCACTTGACATGGAATATGTAATTACATCCTTATTATAACTTATTTTTCCACTATCTTAGTTTAGTGTTTATCGAGATTTATAATACCATTCTTTTTCAGCCAACCTCAATGTTTTTATATTTTAATAGAACTCTTCTTGAGTAGGTTCTTTGTGATAAGTGTCTTGAGGACTGCATCATGTGGGCAGAGTAGACAGAATTAACTTTCTTCCTTTACTGACTCATTTAAAAGATTATTGAATAAAACACGTGGTCTATTTAACTAAATATTGGGGACTGGGTTCTATGTCAGGTATTACCTAAGGAACAGAAACGGAGAAAGTTTTTCCTCCAGTTTCTTTCTTAACCTTTCTTGGTTAGAGAGGATAATGTTGAAAGAAGTACTAGACGAGTTTATGCTGATTAAATAATTTCCAAGTAAATATGGTTAGAAAATGAATTCTTAAAACATTATCTACTGGAAAACAGGTTTAATTATATT